CGCTAACCACTCGGCTACACTGCCACGAGTACCCTTGAGTCACAGGGAATAAGTGAATTTCAAGGAAGGCTAGACATCTTGCCATATCATATTCTTTGGTGGGAATGCCGATGAAGCAAACGTATGGTTGCTATGGCAATCGACAACGTTACTTATATTCGTAAGTAAGTAGGGTTTCGAGACTACCATTAAAACAGTGTAATGATTACACTTGATAGATTTGGGGGGGGAGAAGATTTCACGACCCAACCGAAAATAAGAAAGGCAAATGAAATGACCGAAAGCCTGAAGAGGGGGAAAGAGGGCATGACACTGACTGGGAACCAATTTTGGATGTTTGACAAAATTAAGGAAGGGGGGATCGAGGGGACGGATCAGTGAAGGGGGGTGAGGGGAGGGGACCTGGTTCATGTGGAGTCCGTGTTTGGCCATACTGGCTCAAGTGACCTTTCAGCATTGATTTCAGACAATAAACATGCAATCACACATCTGAGCACACATCAAAACAATGGGGTTAAACTCTAGATTGGTAGTCAAGGCAACGGACAGCAAGTACGACATGTATGAACTTCGTTCATTTGCAAGCACTTTTGATCGGAATGACAATTGCCGCTTTCTTGGTTTGGTGTTTACAACCAATTGGCCTTGGAAACGAAAAGTCGAGTCTCATTCAGTCGTTAAAAGGGTCATGGAAACACTGCCTTTGTTTGTGTGCAATTTGTATAATGTTTATTCATGTCGACTTTTCTGTTTACACAATGTCCGATTTTCATACCTGATGGTATGAAAGGATCAACCCCGAGGAGGAGATATGGTTTAACAAGCTTCGAAGATTGTCTTTCTTTCTTGCAGGATGCCATGCTTGCAGACTGAAATATCCATTTTAGTCGGATATGTCGACTAAATGGGGAAAAATGCCAACATTGGCCATTTTTACTCGTCTTCCAAGCCCACCTGAAGCCGATTGTCCTGTCGGTTGTGGAACAAGTGCCAGTCGGAGTCACAAGACGCCAGCTTCGGCATGTCAATGTTCCACCCACTTCTGACGCGAGTAGGCAGAGACTCGGGATTGTCCACCAGCCTCAGTTCAGCCTATCAACTGTCTGATTGGTCCAACCACTGGCCGGCTGACCGGCTGGCCGGTTGGCCGATTGGCCGGTTGGCCGTCGAAGGGTTGACCGATTCGGCAAGTCGCAGCGTCCAACTATGCGGGAGAGTGGGCTTTCTCCGCTGGGCTCGGATGTCCATAAAGGCATGGTTCGACGACTTAGTCGCGGTGTACAGACGATAAACACTCAAATTCCGAATGAGTGTGAGATGACTTTGCACATTTTGCCGGTTTGTCTCGGATTCAGACGGTGTTTATGGCCGGTTGGGGGCAGGGAGCCGAGCTCTATCAGGGGAGGGCGGGGGAACGCAAGGTAGAGACGGTCTCGAGGCGTCGGTTCCACCGAGTCCCGCCTCGTCTTCTGATTGGCCGGTCAGACTCCGAGTCCCGGTCAGGCCGAGGCTCGAGGCGTCGGTTGGTGCCGGTGAGGCAGGCGAGGCAATCGGGCCATTCGTGGACATTTTCATGCCAGTCAAGTCTCGGTCCGGTCAGTTGATTCGTCAATTGAAGTATTTCGGGCAAGTGGAAAGAAGAAGGATTTCGGGTGCTTTTAGAATTCGTGTTTTATTCACATTTTTAACTGAACGCAATCTCATCCCGTCGGGGTTCAATTCAAAGACACATTTGCTCTCACTGCAAGCCGAAAGAGAATTTCAGGAAGAATCGGGATTTGTGAAATGTACAAAAAAGTTGTCTAATCTGAATGCGATGAATCCAGACACTATCTCATAAATCAACAATCACAACTGGAGATGTATTCACCTCATTTCTAGCAAGCTGATGATATGAGTAAAGCTGAAAATTTCATTGAATTTCACATATCCTTGCTTCCCAAAAGTCATTCTTATTCAGGCAGAAGTTGACTACAATATCGACCTCGCCCAGAACTTGTCAGCACCTCAGGCGGGACTCGAGCCATGACATTGCAGCGTATCGGCTCTATATGCGAACCATCACTCAATGTTGCCACAAGTCTCACTCAGGCACACAAAAATACTTTTCCGAAAGAAAAGTCTCGTGGTCTTCTGGTGGTATCCACCTTTGACCCTCTTCATCAGACATGCCTTCACTCGAAGGGGAAGCGAGCTCAACAATTGTAAACCACCAGATTGCTGGGAACCAGCATTTGCTGTATATGCTACAAGATGAGTCAAAGACTGATAGTTGACTTTTTCCTGATCAAGAGGGTAGGTCTAACTAGCACCTTTCAACTGAACACCAAATCAAGTCATGCACAACTAGGAACCACATTGTCATTTTAGGGAAAGCTCCACAAGTGGTCTTCAAATACGCCTACATTATCTTGTTTTTCCTTTAATGAGTAGGGCTTCAAGACTGACAGTAAATCACTTCTATGAGATCTATTCACCTCATTTCGACTAAATTTTTCCGACCACATAGTCGAAATGCGTAGGGTTGTTGTCATGATACCATCTTCAATGTCAAAAGATTCATGAAAGATGAGCAAATATAGACACTTGGGAAGTGGATCCGGTGCAAGAGTGAAAGCTGTGTGACAGAATTCCTCTATTAACTCTTTGTCTGTCTGCTCAACTTTGGGCTCTTCACTTTAAGGACAAAAACCGCTGACGGGAATTTTAACTCGAAGTAGCATTGAGGTTGTTTAACCTTGTTTTCACATCATGGTAATGTTGGTATGAAGACTTGGCGGAATGTACCTAGTCCGGAGTCCATTGTCTTCATGATCATTTGCAAATTTGAACCGTGTACGTGATACATTCCCAAACGTTTCGCCGGTCTCGTCAGTGATTATCGCCATTCGTAGCACAACACAACAAATCGTCGAATAGACATGTGAAGCCGATCCTTTCACCAAACGTGTGCTAAACCATTGTGGTATCTCGCCCTCCGTCAGTGCCGAAAATGCCAACTTTCCGTCGCGGCAGCCAGTGTCAGAGTGTGGAATCCTTCTTCAGGACACATTCATCAAGGCCATTTTATCTGGCCCGAATAGCTTAATTTTGCGATCTCATTCAGGCATCGCACAAGTTGGTCGGTTCTTTCATGCCTACGAGAGCCAAATAGTAAAAGTTGCAAAAACTCTTTCTTGATTTGCGCTGAGTGGCTGCGATTTCATTAGAAATTAAAAGTCCAGACGCTACTAAATGGAGAAGGAAGTTCAGCTTCAAAACAGATATGAAAACTTGATCCAACGTCTCGAGGAAATCCATAGGACGAAGGAGGTAAACAATTGCTTTTGTCCAGACTGTCTGTATTTTATCGTATTTTAACGACGTCTTGGAATATGAAGACGAAGTATGATGGAATGTGTCAGAATGATTCATCGAGGAGGCTCATGCACAAAACAACAACCACGACAAGTGGACACGGGCAAGCAGAGGGGCAAATTTCATCCGTCTTCCGATTAAGCGGTGCAGACAATAATTCAGTAAATTTTCGAAATGGAAGGTGTTATGAAGAAAAAAAGAAACATACTTCGTAATATATGAAGGAATGCTTAAAAATTTAATTTAATCAGACTTTTACTTCCGAAACAAATTTTACTAAATAGGGGATTTGTAAACCGGTCATACCAGATATAGCAGAAGGATTGTCAGTTGGTGCGATGTAGCCTGGACCGGGCTCTGAGGGCTACTTTGCATGCTTCAATAATCCCATTCATTCATTTTGGCATAAAATAAACCGAATTTGAGTTTTAACTGTTTAATGACCTCTCAGGAACGCAAACTTCTGACTGACGATCTCTTTGATACGGCTTCATTTGGTTGAGAGATTTCGGCTGTTATGCAACTTGACAGACGCTATCAGAGCAGAGCTGAATATTAGCAACTACTTAAAGCTTTCGAGTCATGATAACTCAAGGATGGAGATGTCGGGTTCATGTCACATGCCAATCCTGAAATATGGATGTATGATGCAAGCTAGGCACCTCAAAAATCACATTAAAAGCATATGTTAACAGACGCTATCGACATCACTACTCATTTCAGATGTGAGTAGTTTGAGAGACTATCAGTAATACGCGAACAAAACAAAGTCTTCATAGGTCACTTAAGACAAGGGTGAGTGAAATGCATTGGTATCCTGGGACCTCTTCTGATCATTGTTTCGGAAACCTCAACTACCAATCCTTATAATCACTTAGTTGACTATGGAGTTAGACAAGAATTGTATACAGTTTCGAATACTACTCAGCAAAAATAAATGATGTCGTAGACTGTAAGGGCAAACGCATGTTATTAATTTTCGTATATAAGTAGAGTTTCGAGCCTACCATCTCATGTTCGCAATCACAATTTCACTTACCATTGCCTCCTAAAGGGTATCCCTATCCCGACTGGACTGCAGTTTCGACCTCGTCTATGTCTCATTCGCCCTTCCAGCAGAATAAATCAACCGTCACTATGAAGAGAAGTTGCGTTTTGAAGAAGCCCTTAATTCATTGATACTGGCGTACCTTTCATTTCGTTTTCTTCCTACACTTCAACAGACAAGAGTCCAAGGCAACCCTCATATGGTATCTGGTGAAGCCAATCTACAAATCCTTCGACCCGCCTTCTCAAACGCAATGAAAGGTATGCCGGAATGACCGGAAGCAAAAAAGGCTGACAAAATGTTTATTCAATAATTTCTGCTACTCTCGAAGACGACCTACCTACCTACTTACATACTACTTACAATGTGAAATTCACTTGCAGAGGATGAAATCATCAAATCGACCCTGAATATGCACACTCCTGTCCGGCCATAATTTCCAAGTACAAAAGAAGAGAGAAGAAGGTGAGATATGAGTGATTTTCATCATCTTCGCGACAGCATCGCTGTCTATTTACGACGGCAGCCTCAGGCTGGGCCTAAATAATAGCCGAGGCGGAAAGAAGCTTCATTCCGGTTGAACCTTTTCAGAATGCCCATTCCACCATCACCGCTCCTTTCTCACTTGTCCCATGCCGGAGAAGACTACATTCCAGGCGTCTTTTCACGTCGTCCTGACCACATACAGACCAGCCGGTCGGAGAGAGTGAGTCTTGTTCGGGCACCGCAACCAATTGCCAGATTGTTGGCGAGCACCGTCGAGGCTTGGGCTCGCCAAATCGCGATAAAATGTGTCGCATTTTCACCGATCGGGGCTCGGGATTCGGCCAACTTCACGACCTTCTGTTAACGAGCCTCAGGCAGAGTGTAGCCGTAAACAAGCCGACAAAATGGCACATGTATTGGCCGTTCATCGTTTCGTCGGCTTGACGACCAGACGAGCACAAGCTGGTTTCCATGGGCCTGATGAAAGTATGTCAGGTGGGCGGTAGGAGGATGCCGTCGGGCCAGACACAATTGGGATCGCCGGTGCCATCTCCGACTCCGCCGAAGGGATTCGAGCCTAAAACACGCTGGACACGCTCTGATCGCCCCCAGTGCGTACACGCCTGCAAGAAAGAGGTGGAATAGGCGCACAGACGTGAAAATGCACCAACTGCAAAGGTTGGAGACGAGTGTTGGAAAAGCAAAAATTGAGGTATCCGCGACTCGAGCAGATTTTACGGTCGCATAGTCTGTCCGTCCGTCCGGTAAAAAGAAACCGTGTCAACTTTTGACACAAGAACGCCACTTTATGCCGGATGGAATTGTAATTGGGATTGTAATAACTATCAAAGCAGTCAATAATTCACTTAGTTCAGCCGTTTTTAATTGGAAAGCTCGACCTAAATTCGTAAGTGCAGACACGCCTGAGCAGAAAAAAACCTCTAATGAGTCAGGAGCAGGTTACATTCAACGGCCTCCCGGGACCAACTCATGCAATTTCGGAACAAACTCCATTAACCATCCTTAAATCACGTCAGAAGAACTCGACCAAGGGAAAACTATTAAACATTAATTAAGGATAATTTTGAGCCTACTCACTTTGAGTATAAGTAGTATCGACGGCAAATACATGTAGGTCCCATCGATAGTTGCGGCATAACTGTGACATGAGTGAGGAGTGGCTCGTCGTGGAGTTCTCGTACGCCCAATGCGACCGATTGGCCTACGCGACTGTCTCCAATGTGGGATAGTTTTAGTGGCAGTCTGAAGCCTAATCTTATCGAAGTGGGAAAAAGGAAAAGTTTTGCATTTGAAAGTAGAGTTTCGAGGCTACCGGCATGTTGTGGTCTCGAAACTCTACCTACAAAGGAAAAATAAATGATTTTGCCGATTGCTACATTAAATATAACTTTGCTTCACCCATAATCTCATCACAGAATGCGACATTGGAAAATGCCTGTCCTTCCGTGAAATGCTCATCCGCCTCATGACCCACGGGCACTCGTGGCAGTGTGGAGTATCACATTAAAATCATATATTAACAGACGCTATCGACATCACTACTCATTTCAGATGTGAGTAGTTTGAGAGACTATCAACAATACGTGAATAAAACAAAGTCTACATAGTTCTAATAGGATATATGGGATTTTGTGGTCTCGAAAGCCTACTTACAAAGGAAAAATAAATAATTTCGTTGATCGCTAATTTACTTCACCCACAATTTTATTACAGAATGTGACATGGGAAAATGCCTGTACTTTCGTGAAATGCTCATCTGCCTCATGGCCCACGTACACTCATGGCAGAGTGGAGTATTGGGTAACGTGTCGAGATTACACGCTGCACTGGCATGCTTCGAGTCCCGCCTGGGATGCTGACGACTTTAGTTAAGGCGAGGACGAAACTGCAGTCCAGTCGAGCCGAAATGTGAATATTTTTTGGGTAAGCGAGGCTGCATGAAATTGAGTGGGAACCTAAGGTCTACTCACATAATTGTTGGAAAATGCGACTACCATTTCTGCATCATCTAAACGAAATATAAACAGAACGAGAAATATAATCTGGACCGTCTTTGTTAGTTGGCGGTGATGAGCTTAT